TACGATGTTCGGCGGGTTTGTGGCATGTCCGTACGATAACAGCCGCACGGGCCGGTGTGCGCAAGCGCACACTGCCCGTTCGGCATTGCGGTCATCGGAAGCCCGCCCCTCAGGGGGCGTGGCTTGCGATCATCGCAAGTACGATCTGCCTATGCAACATAGGCAGATCGTACGTTTTTTTAAGTACCTTACAATCATCGCAAGACAAAAGTCTTGCGATGGTTGTAAGGTGTGTGCCCAGCCTAAGGCTGGGGAGATACAGTAAACAATCAATTAGTACTCAATTCACAATCATTCACCCTGAAAATACGTTGTTACAATACACCGTTTGCTTTTTTACTCAGCGCAGCTGTGCGTTGCTCCGCCCACACAGCCGCATCACTCATTCACAGAACTTTCGACAGGATCTACGAATGGAGAAACTGCAAGTCCCATCAGCCACTGCGTCAGCAGGATTTGCAGTTCTCAATGGAGAACTGTAGTCCCCGCACTTGTAGTCCATTCATTCTTCCTGTTATCCATGTTACTGAATGTCTGTACCTTGGAATGGACAGGGATGGGAGGAAGAGTCTGCAGGAGCCAGAGCATTGCACCCGTCATCCACTGATCGCGGTTGCAATGCTTGACTGTCTCTAATGCAAACAAATAACAATGTCCCCGCACTTGTAGTCCGTTCATCCTTCCTGTTGTCCATGTTATGGATATGAACTGTCTGAACCTTGGAACGAACAGCGATGGGAGGAAGCGTCTGCAGGAGCCAGATTATTGCACCCGTCATCCACTGATCGCGGTTGCAATGCTTTACTGGCTTCAAGGCAAAAAAAAATAAACGTACATTTTTTCTTTTATGAAGTGCGTTTTTTAATTATGATAATTTTTTTTTTTAGAAGATGGAATTTCGCTTGAACTGCTTTAAAGCATCAGAAAATGACACCGCAATTAACTTCACGCACAGCGACGCAAAACTGCAGCATGTTTGTATTTTTACACAGCACCAGCCAGTGTCATTTTTGTGCACACCAGATGTATGTCGTGCCCTTGTCTTGGTCTATGCTGATCCACACAGCTCAACAGACATGTTGTGAATAAGCCCTTCAAAACGCAATGCTAACGCGTCGCAAATACACATGTGCAGCAACGACAGCAGCCACATTGTAGACTTCTGATGCCAGGTTGACAAATCATAATGATTATTATACAGGATTTATAAAGTGCCAACAGCTTGTGTAGCGTTGTACAATATAAAAGGAGACAGTGCAGCTATATAATACAACTCAAGACCAGATGGTTAGGAGGACCCTGCTCCCCAGAGCTTACAATCTAAAACACTGTTTCAAGTTACTGCACATTGCTCTGATGCTGATCAAGTCCAACATATAATAAAATGTACATTTAAAGGAGACATTAATGTGCGCTGTGGCCTCCAGTGCGGTACAGTTGGTAGATATGGAAATGTACCTAATATTTCTTGCCTGCGTCTGGCGTGCGGCTGGTCGGTGTACACCCATTCAAAGTCTCTTCGAGTCACTTTGTTGCCCATTGTGGCTCAGCGACTTCATCACCTGAGACGTTTCTTGATTGTCTGCAGCAGGACTAAGTGGAGAGAGCTCCAGCTCCGGGTCTTATATAACCTTGCCTGACCACATAGGTGGGGCCACATAATTCTCTTAACATTAGCTAGTAAATGAAAAACTGGCTTCCCATTCATTTGCCAACAGGAAACATCGCATATCACTTTTTCTTTTTTTAAAGGGATAGTCCACCTTTAAAAATCAAAAACACGCATGTTAAAAAAAAAAAAAAATGTGCATTTATTCATGTTTTGTAGTGCAAGATTGGGGAAGGGGGGGGGGGGGGGGGAGTGTTTCTGATAGTTTTGCAGGGGCTTGGGTGAGTTCGGTTTGCACTAAGCCCATGCAGATCACTAATTTTTGCAATGCAGCCTGCAAAGCATTGTAACCGCGATGAGCTCCTGCAGACTCCTTCCCTAGTTCCAGGTCCGTATAGAGGTACACACCTTCTGTTATGGGGCTGGAGAAAGCAATCAATGGACTACAAGTGTGACAATGTCACCCCACCTGTGCTCCATTGAGATCTATGAGTCCCTTTGCTGCACGCCCCTCTACCTGCTGCCCCGCACCCCCACGTGACCCAAAGAGATGCCACCTGAGGCAAGAGCTTCAGGCTGCCTCATTATAGGGATGGCCCTGGGGGGGGGGGACACACAGACAGTTAACAGATAGGGGCTGCAGAATGTGACCATGTTTTATATAACACCCGAAAAATGGGTGTAAGATTAAACTTGGACAGAAAGGGGGACTATGCCTTAAATTCATTATTTTGTAAAATTGAGGACCTGCTTACACCACTGCATTTTTGGCTCCCCATAATATAGATAGTGCCTGTTACCAGCTCTGTGTTGCAATAAGCTGCATTTTAAATAATATATTGTGTCTGTTTTTTCTGCATTTTAGTGCGTTAAAAGCCCCTAAAAGTTTGTGTCAGTTGGATAAAATAGGTCCCATGGTTGGTGCCAGTGGATAAAATAGGTCCCATGGTTGGTGTCAGTTGGATAAAATAGGTCCCATGGTTGGTGTCAGTTGGATAAAATCGGTCCCATGGTTGGTGCCAGTTGGATAAAATAGGACCCATGGGTGGTGCCAGTTGGATAAAATAGGTCCCATGGTTGGTGCCAGTTGGATATAATCGGTCCCATGGTTGGTGTCAGTTGGATAAAATAGGTCCCATGGTTGGTGTCAGTTGGATAAAATAGGTCCCATTGTTTGTTTACAAAAAAAAGAGTCAATCCCTGACCCGGAAACGAAAATAAGCTTCATCATTAGTATGAATTGGATAAAATAAGTTCCATTGTTGGTGTCATTTAAGGGTGTGTTTTTCAATCATTAATTAACTACATGGGGTATATGTGTGGTGTTTGATTGTTACCATATTGTGACATCTTTCTGCCTTGAGGAAGGGATCCTGCGCGGCCCCGAAACGTCGGTTTATTTGGATGTCTGTGACGATTTCTGTCCAATAAAAGGAACATATTTATCTTTACTACTGAGTGCTGGTGATTTCCTGACTTTCATTTGGATAAAATGAACACCATTTCTGGTGTCCATGCTATAAAAAAAAAAACCCCATCGTTGGTGTCAGTGGGATAGAAATAGAATACTCTCCATATTATTGATAATAAGTTCTATGTTTGCATTGGAGTTCAGTGGCTACTTACCTGATCACACACCTTCATGCCACTGCTTGGCTTCTCGCCTTCGGTCGGGCAAGAACAATTCTGTCCCGGTTGGGAAGGAGATCAGCAGTTTTGGGGTAATAGGACGCAGGAACTCTAACACTCCGCTGCCACTCTGCACAGTGTCCTGGATCCTGTGGGACGGGCACAATGTGGGAGAGAGTGTAAATTTTTCCAGGATTGTGCCCCTGGATCCAGGACACTTGGCAAGCAACTATGTACTTTATTAACCTCCCTGGCGGTATGATTATCTCAGTATTTATTACTTTTGACTTTCTCCCCGGTTCTGCCACCCCCTGCAATGCCGGCGCTCGCAGGGAAGGAACCCGGAGAGTGTGGCTCGGTGTTACCGCTTTTGGTACGGAAAATTTACCCCCGAGCCACACTCGGGATTACCGCCAGGCCAGTTAAAGGAAACATTGACCGTGCCTGTCTCTGTTTCACATAGCCTCTAAATTTTAACACTGGCTGAACTGCGTTTTTGTTTTTACACCACTATCGCTCTTTAGACTTCTCACACAATTTTTTGTACACTGTGAAATTACCTAAACTATGTTGCTGTAGGTATTACTGCAAAGTTACCTGTTTGCAGCATGCTGTGTTTTCCTTGCTGGTTTTTCAGGTGTCCAGTCTGCATGTGCGGTGTAAGTAAATTTTTTGCATAGAAAAAAAAACCAGTCCTTTATATTGTGTGACCTCCCCTTGTCTTAAAGTGACACTAAACTCAGGAGTTAAATCTTACAAATACCTTCGAGTACCTCAACTATTAACAGAAATGTATCTTATTTGTGTATCACTCGGCTGTAGATCCTCCAATCATCTCTGAATTGGTGCCAACACCGTCCTTCCTTCTGGAGGGTGGCTACTTTTGTTCCCATGCTCCCTGTGTGTGTTGTAAAGTAGTCACCGTTCCAAGCTTACTCCCGGGATGGACTACAATCTCATGTTTAGTTTACTAATTTGTATTTTGATTGTAGTCCATCCCGGGAGTGAGCTTGGAGCACAAGCCAAAGGCTCCCACATCAGAGCAAAATCTAAGAGCGTCTACTAACAGCTTACACCGCCATCTACTGGAAGGAAAGAAAATCCATTGTCCAAGTCCAGTGACCGCAAGAAGTGTCTCTAATAGCAAACAATAATTATCTTTGTATTATTATTATTATTTTATTTATTATTAATAATGCACAACACCTTACAAAATAATGGGAGACAGTACAGTTACAAGTCAATACAAGAGGGTTTGGTGAACCCTGTGCCTGGGAGCTTACAATCTAAAGAGAGGAACAAGTGATACAAAAGACATTCATTGTGAACAATGAGCTGATGGAGGAACTAGAAGTACAGTATGAAGGAGGAGACAGGATAGACTTGAAGAGATAGGTTTTCATGGATCGCCTAAAGGTGGACAGAGTAGGAGATAGCCAAACGGATTGGAGAAGGGAGTTCCATAGGATGGGAGAGGCTCCTGGAGGAGAGCACGGGAGGAGGCGATGAGGGAGCTAGAGAGATTGAGGTCTTGGGAGGAGGGGAGAAGACGGTTTGGGTGATATTTTGAAACAAGGTTGGGGGTGTAGATCCGGACAGAGTGGTGGATGGCTTTGTATGTTGTTAGTATTTGGAATTCTATTGGTTGGGTGAGTGATAGCCAGCAGAGGGATTGGCAGAGAGGGGTGGGGGTGGTAGGCAGTGGAGGGATTGGCAGGGAGGGGGGGGGGGGGGGGACTCCGGGGGGG